ATACAGTAGCCAGAGAGTGCAATAAAGCTTTTTAAAATTGAAACCTCTGTCTTCTAGCCAGGATTTGATTACCAATTAGAATTGTCACTTCTTTGCTAGGATTAACGCACCAGCAGCGCACAAACTAAGCGAGTATCTTGAGAACGTTTTCACAGTCCTATTACGTTGGAGGAACAATGATATCCATGACCGCAGTGACCTCTATTATAGTCCTGTAACTACCTACTGTATCTGTTTAATATAACCTAATTTTCAGACCAGGAACACAACTTTGCACTCTTCGATAAAGAGCTAGTAGACAACATGGGTTTGCCATACGAATACACGAGCTGCATGCACTACGGACCTTACGGGTTTAGCGTTAACGGAAAACCGACAATTGAGGCTTTACAAGTAAGAGTTTTTAAAAAACTTTGTATCATTTGTAGTGTCGGACCGAAACTGATTTTAGCCGAAACCGAAATTCGGTCCTGCTCTCTGTTTCGGCCGGAACTAAAATTGAAACTTCCGAAAACATGTTTTAGATTACGATTTTAAACATTTGTATTTTCAGCGTTTCGAAGGTGTAATGGGTCAGCAGGAATACGTGACTGAAAACGATTGGCTTAGAGTCAGAAGATTTTACAAATGTCCAGCCAAAAAGCCGGAGGCAAGGGAGGAGGTGAAAGTAAGCTTTATCAATGAAGCCTGAGAATAAAATGCTTAATTTTATGACTAAATGATGGCCGTTAAAATAAAATACTTGAAGTGACGTGTTGTTTTCTTACGATAGTGTTGTGCTACCTATTGGCGTCGCCAGTCGATACGGAGGGGGAGGTCGATGATAAAAGATACGGGCATCTGCCCCCTCTTGACGACGCTTATGTTGCTACCTGCCACTTGGTGCCGTATTTGATTTGTCTTTCCGCGTATAAATTGTTTATAAGATGGAAGCAATGCTTTGGGCTCATTACAAAGGATTGTATAAATGAAATGGATTGGTTTCTACTCATATAACAATAACTTTTATTATGCATTTTTGTTAGGTTTTACATTGTTATAATCATATTATTGGTAATCAATTTGATTATGATATAGTAATATACGAGTATATATAGTAAGTTATTGAACTTAAATAAGTAAGACACAACTTCATATAGGATTAATTATTTGGTATCAACACTGCCTTTAAACCAAAGATTCCTTGGTTTTCTAGATTCATAGATTTTAATAACTACTTCAAATAAGATGATTCTCAATTACATTTCTTTTTACCCACTGTTTTTAGTTGCATATTTTTTTTTTTAAGTAATGTCGACTTTTAACGGAATAGACGGATAAAGTACAAACACTTGACAGTATGGATTTGAATTAAAATTTTAATCTTATTATCATATTAATTCAATTATCTGAAGCTAATTAATCAAATTATTTTATCAAACTACGTGCGCATATAAATACAAAATGGGAACAAATATTTGGTAAACAGAAAAATGTTGAAACTAAGTTATGTTCTGTTTCTGGTGGGACTAGCTGTTTGCAGCCCACCAGTCACGAAGACCAGGGAGCAAATAGAATCATTCAGGAATTTCTTGGAACAGAGTCGCACAGGTAAATAAAATAAAACATTTAAGTATTGAAATTGTTCCTTTATAGAAATATTTAGGTGGAAAATCTAATTTTACGTTTTTCATAATTATGCCTAATACCATCCTATCTTCTCTAATTGAAGGTGTAATTTATAATTTTATTTAGTTAACAATATCAATCATAGATGGCGTTAGTAGTTTCTTAGTCTTAATCCTATTTGCCCCTTTGGCAGAGACAGATGGCAATGGAATTACAATATACTGAAACATTTATAGATAAAATATATTTTTAGAGCATGGAGTGCGTCTATCGGAACGCATGTTGGCGAACCCTAAGGCAAGCGCGTGGGAGAACAGCGGCAAGTTCGAGGGAGATATCATACTAGATGACTGGCAGGTGGAGGCGCTAGTGCAGCAGTACTCAGGCGCGAGGAACGCTTACATCTGGCCTGGCACTAAGTGGCCACAAGACACCATTGTGTATGAGTTCGGAGAAGGAGAATTCAGTCAGTTTTTACATACTTCATACTTATAGTCACTACTCATTTAAGGTAGACTCTGAGCTCCTCAGGGTCCTATACTAAGCTGATGATGATCCTAATATACTTAAAACCGGAAACAGTGATTGTATCGAAATGCCAATGTTGGAGAAGTCTAATCTTCTAATAATCAAATAAAAATACTGCGACTTAATTATTTCATTAACAACTTTCTACTTTTTAGACGATGAACAGAAAGAAGCAATCATGGTCTCTATCAGAGACATCGAACAAAATACTTGTCTGAAATTCCGTGAGCGACGTCCCGGAGAATTCAACTACGTTAAACTTACGGTAAGATTCTGTTCTAATATATCCCACTAGTTTTGCCCGGGACTTCGTCAGCGTGCTATTTAGAAAAGCAAAAATATGTAACCTATGTATTCTTCCAGACTATCATCTACGTGTATGCCAAATTTCATCCAGATCCGTTCAACCGTTTAGGCTACAAACTTTAATAAACATCCATCCATCCATCCGTCTAAACTTTCGCATTTATAATATTAGTAAGAAATAAGATTACAACTCTATTTTCATTCGGAGTAGTGTCTAGAAAACTTAATGCTTATGGCTAAACAATTATCTGGTTACAAACATTTCTTATTGTAAGGAACTTAAGAGAATAATAATACTGTAAAATTATTTTTGGATCATAGACGTCGCTAACCGATGGTAACTAGATTTGGTAAAGGTTTGGGCGCTATTAGTATGTTATTCAACTTACAGCCGTATATTTTTACAATTACACTCCATCATAGCTATAAATCACGTCGCAAACAAATCTAATCCTTTAATTACAATTATCATTATTACTGTTATTGTAATATTAAACAATATTAATAATGTTATTGATAACAAGTTGTGATTTAAGATTTAAAAAATCTAATCGCAATCAATTTTTTTTAATCACAAGGTTAAATTGATAATTCTTTTTGTAAATACCTCTTCTGCTTTTTATTGTAAATACTCAAGTAATTAGTGAAAACATCATGAGTACAAGCATACTTATAAACGAGCACTAATAGAGAGAAAGGATCGGATGTACTGGGAATAAAAAAACAATATAATGATAACTAGTTTTTTACCCAATTCCCACAGATTTTCTCACAAAGTGTCATTATATCCTAATACTATTATCCCACAATAATTTTAAAAAATTTTCCCTTTTTTTCATTAGTTATTTGAAAAAAATTGTTCCTTAGGGTCGTCCCGACGGCTGCTACGCTAACGTTGGCTACTGGCACGACCGTGGGTTACACATCTTCAATCTGGCCCGTAACAGTCCCGGTCAGGGCTGCTTCAGACATACAACGATCGTCCATGAATGGCTGCACATCATCGGCTTCTTCCATATGCAGTCTACTTACAACCGTGATGACTACGTCCGTATTATGTGGGATAATATTTGGCCAGGTAATTGTAAAAGTATTTAATACAGATATCAATCATGTCAGAAATGATGTAAGGAAATAAAAATATCATCACGTTTCCACTGAGGGGCTCGGAGCCATAAGTTAGGGTGACTAGGCCTTAATCAACAACGCTGGCCCACTGCGGGTTGATTCACTTTACATATACCTTTCTTCTTTGTCGATATGTGCATATTGCATCATGAAGTTTTCCTTCACCGTAAGAACGTCCGTCGGGTATTTTATGTGCATATAAAAATTCCTAAAAATCGAACATCATATTGGTCTATGACGGGATCCGAACCCAAGACCTGTAGATTACAAGTCAAGTGATTAAACCAATGAGCCACCGATAATTTTAGCTCTACAATAAAATATTTAAATCTCGTGAAAGGTACAAATGCACTTCCGAGGGCGATCCTATCCGATCTAGTTAGGTCTAGGAGAGACTGGTCCCTTACCTCTCGACGTGTGATGTATACTTTGTGTTGTGCGATTTCGATCTTTTGTTTACGGTTACATAATGTGTTAATATTTCAGGTATGGAGCACAACTTCGAGCATTACGACAGAAACATCGTACACAACATGGGCTTGCCTTACGAATACACAAGTTGTATGCACTATGGACCGTACGGATTTAGCACGAACGGAGAGCCGACTATCGTACCAATAAGGGTAAATATTATTTATCTTGTTTACATTATAGGCCCCAGGAAAAATCCTTGAAGTGTTGCTTAGATAGAACGGTATCTAACTAGTTGTGTTTATTTAAGATCTTTGTATGCTATATTTACAGAGTTTCGAAGGTGTGATGGGTCAGCAAGAATACGTAACTGAATACGACTGGCTTAGAACGAGAAGACACTACAATTGTCCCAATGGATGGTCTAAAGACAATCCTGAGTTAGAGGAGCAGAAAGTTAACTTCGTCGAAGAAGGTCAAGAGGTCCCATATGATGAATAAATGGATGACTAAAGGATTTTAGTAATAAACGATTTTTCTTAAACTGGCCTTTCTTTGTCTCCTTAATTAACTAATCTTTGACAATGCCTGAAATACTCTATGACTAGGATAATGAGCTAAGAAAGTAAAGGATTACGCATGAAACAAAGTTAGCATTATACCGTTTTGGCTGTAAAGCCAACGGTGAAAAGACAAAAAATGGGTCCATTATATTTATGTAATTCTGCATAACGATAACTTACTTTAATTTATATTGCATATTTTTCGTTCGATTTATAAACTTTAATTCAATATTTGTAAATAGACAAAACATAGTGACTTTGTAAGCTGCAATTTATGTTCAAATCTTATCTTTGTTAGTTCTGATAACATATGAAAAATCATTAATTATTTCGATTACTGAATAACTTTACGCATATTTTGTGAAATATTTGAAAATATCTCTAATACTAATTCACCGTTTTTATACAAAACATACACAATAGATAGCTGCCTTGTTATCTATC